CGTCCCCGCCCCTCCTCCTCCTCCTCGTTGCTCTTCGCTCCTGGCTCTGGCCCTGCACCTCCTGCGTCCCGCTCCCCCCCCCCTCTCCTCTGCTCCGGGCTCCAGCCCGACGCCTCCTCCCCCTTTCTCCCGTTCGTCCTCCCCCTTCTCGGGCCCCAGCATTTACCTTTTCCTTTGTGTCCGTCCTCCCTCCCTACGACTCCCCCACTTCCGCTTCCTACCCCTCCTCCTCCTCGTCCTCTTTCTCCTCCTCCTCCTCCTTCTCCTCCTCCCGCCCAATCCTCCACCCCATCATGCCCTCCGTCTTCCCTCCTCTCCCTCATCATATCCCTCCTCTTCCTGCTTCTCCTCCTGCTCCTCCTCCTCCTTCTCCTCCTCCTCCTCTGCCTCCTCCTCTCCTTCCTTGTCCTTGACCTCCTCTTCTCCGTCCTCCTTCCCCTCCCCCTCTTCTCGTCGTGCTCCCCCCCTGCTCTTCAAGCGCCGCAACGGCGCGCGCGATGAGGACTCGCAGCCGCGACAGTCGGGGCGTCGCCGCGCGGGAAACAGCGCGCCTGCGCGGACGCGGTCCGTCCTTCCGTCCCCCCGTCGGCCTCACCTTCCTCCTCCATTTCCTCCTCCTCCTCCTCCTCCTCCTTCTCGTCCTCCTCCTGCTCCTGCTCCTGCTTCTCCTCCTCCTCCTCCTCCTCCTCCTCCTTCTCCTCCTCCTCCTCCTCCTCCTCCTCCTCCTCCTCCTCCTCTGGTGAGGGTTTAGGTGGCCCGCCTGTCAGTGCTGTTTCCCTGGATGCACCTCAGCTTGTTTGTGTCTTTGCCGAGCCCTCGTTGGAAGGCAGTGCCTGCGAATTTGCTGCTGCTGAGCATTCTGCTCGTTGGAAAGAGGAGCGCCTGCCCGCAGCGGCTGGTTGAGACGACGATTGTGGAAGACAATCAATGGAGAGGAGGCATGTTACCAAATAGCCGCCATATGTCCAAAAGGAAGAGTCGGTCCGATCACTCGTCAGTCTGGGTGTGAGTGGCCGCTGTATGGGTGAGCTTGAGCGTGAGTGAGACTCTAGTGTCAGAGAGGGAGTCTGAGTGTGAGCGAGTTCACGTAAGTATGAGTGAGTCAGATTTGAACGAGTCTGCGGGTGTTCAAGTGTGATGGAGTTTAAATGTGTACGAGTGTCTCCCAGTGTGTCCGAACCGATGTAATTTATTGTATTTGAGCGGGTCTGAATGTGGGGATGCGGGCGGGAGGGGTGTGAGGCAGGGCAGGGTATGGGAAAAATGGGCACAGGGCGACAACACTTTCTTCCCCGGCGAAGTGGTCGGGAGTTCTGGAGTTGCGGGCTGGCAACATCACATCGTCACATGTTTTGGTGAAGGGTCGGATGTAAGTTCAAGGTTTCTGGAGGTGTCTGGACGGTCTGTAGTGTGAAAAAGAGAAGGAGGAGGAGGAGGAGGAGGAGGAGGAGGAGGAGGAGGAGGAGGAGGAGGAGGAGGAGGAGGAGGAGGAGGAGGAGGAGGAGGATGGGGAGGAGGAGGAGATGCAGGAGAAGCAGGAAAAGCAGGTTAGAGAGAGGCAGAAGGATAGAGGATTTCGGAAGGGTTCTGTATATTTGTGATGCTCTGCTGGGCCCCCAGGGAGACTTCCGGGAAGGGGGAAGGATGATGAGAAGGAGGTGGAGGACGGAGGCCAGGCGGGATTTTGGGGTACGAGGGAGGAGGATCGGAGGTAGGGATCGGGAAAAAGGAGAGGAGGGAGAAGATGATTATGAGGAGCAGGTGGATTAGGGGTAGGAGGAAGGGGGGAAGAGGACGACGCTGACACGGACGAGGAGGAGGAGGGTACGGTGCAGCAAGAGGGGAAGCAAGAGAGGGGGGCGAAGGGAGAGGGGAAAGGGAGGAGAAGCATGAGGACATGGAGGAAAACAAGGACGAGGACGAGGAGGACGAGGACGAGGACGAACATGAGGAGGAGGAGGAGGAGGAGGACGAGGGACGCATGAGGACGAGGAGGAACATGAGGACGAGGACGAGAAGAAAGGGGGCGGGGTGGAGGAGGACGAGGAGGACGACAGCGGCAACGGGTGGCGCCGCCCAGTCCCGCCCCGCAGGTCTGGCACCACACGCCCCAGGTCCAGCCCGCCGGAGAGGGCGCGGACGAGGCTGGGTCACCTTCTCTTCTGCTCGGCTGCTCGTCCACCGATCGGATCCGCTCGACTCCAGTTCAACTCTGGCGCGGCTGAAGTTCGGTTCGAGTTCGGCTCGAGCTCGACGCGAGTTGAGGGCGTTGGACGCAGCATCGACGCGTGAGTGGAGAGAGCGGCTCCAGGAGGGTGCCCCGAACGAGGGCCTGACAAGAGGGAGTGGTCGCTGAAGTATCCATATCCACCGCCTGCGGAGGCTCCCGAAGATCGATCCCCCAGGCGGTGGTCGTGTGCATAAGTTCCCGCCTAGCACCCTCTCATCGCTCGGGACCTCCCTCCCTCCTCATCCCTCTCCGCGGGAGGGGGAGGCAGCTGCGGGAAGGCGGAACCGCCTCGCCGCCTTGCGGGCAGTGTGGCCTCCCCGCCCCCTCTCCCACCCCGTGGTGCTCGCGGAGTGCCGTTCCGTGTGCGAGTCCCTGTGAGCTCGCCCTCTGTGCGTTGCACTTCCCCCCTCTGGGGCACTCTTTTATGTTTCTTATGTTTATGTTTCCTGCTCGCAGCGCTATGAGCTGTGCTCTTCGCATGATGCTCACTCCTCCGCCTCCTCGCCATCCTCCCCGAGGGGCCGCGGGGCAAGGGTGCTCGCGGTTCGCTCGGTCCGGCTGCGTCGCAGTCCGTTGCGTTCGGTCGTTTCGGTGGTTCCGCCAGTCAGGATCTGATGGGCCTGTTTTCCACCACCACCACCACCATAAGTTGGAGGGGGAGGGGGTCCTCCTCCTCCTCCACCTCCTCCTCCTCCTCCTCATCCTCCTCCTCCTCCTCTTCGTCCTCCTCCTCCTCCTCCTCCTCCTCCTCCTCCTCCTCCTTCTGTCCCTCCTCCCCTTCCAACTTATGGTGGTGGTGGTGGTGGTGGAAGACAGGCCCATCAGGATCACCATCCTTGCCGCGCCGATGCCTTCGGGGCCGACGGCGGCCTGCCGGCTTCGGCTTCGGCAGCCGCTGCCGCTTCGGCCGGTGCCCGGCGGTGCTGTCGCCGCGGACGGCCCTGCGGGGGCCCCTGGGGAGAGGCCTGCCGCCGCGGCCGTGCCAGCGGCACCGTGCCGGGGACATCGCTCGGACGTGCGCGGTTCTGTTCCTCTCGGCAGGGACCGTCGGGGAGCACCGGAGGCCACCCTGCGAAGCAGGCGCGCGCGAAGCCGAACATCGCGGGCCCGTTTTCCACCAGTTTTCCACCACCACCAGAAGCTGGAGGGGGGAAGGGGGCGGGGGACGAGGAGGAGGGCGAGGAGGAGGAGGACGAGGACCCCCTCCTCCCCCGGACGGTGGTGGCGGTGGAACACAGGCCCACCAGAAAAGTGCGCGAGGAGGGGACGCCCGAGCGACGAAGGAGATGCCCCGAGGGCGCGGGCGCGGCCTGGCGGCCGCGCGCGGCCCCCCCCCCTTCCTCGCGGAGGGCTCCCTCCCCGAGCCCGCCCCTCGGCCGCGGCGCGGCGCGGCCGAGGGTTTGGCCCGACCCCCACGGGGAGGGCCGGGGGGCATCTCCCCTGGGGAGGTCTCGTGCGGCATCGGCGCGGGCGTGTCCGTGGGCGAACCGCTGCAAATTCCTCGTAAATCGACCCCCCCCCCCTAAGAGACGGGGCCCCCCTCCAAATGCGACCCCCCTCTTCGACGGGGCGCCTCCATAAACCGGACCCCCTGAGCTCCACGCCACAGAAAGCGCCCACCGGACCCGCCCAGTTACAAAAAAGGCGCCTTAAAGAACCGGACCCGGGGGACTATTAATAAGGGATTTGGAGTACAGTGAAAACCCATGCCAAGAAACATCTTGGTTGCCTCCAGGGTGCCCTGGGTTTCTGGAGTTTCGACGGTGCTGCTGCATATGGAAAGCGTGACGCTCCCACACCAGAAATCAATGGACCTCCTGGGGTCTCAGGGTTGGGCGTCTTGTGGAAGGTCTCTGGTGGTCGAGCTCCTACTGCAGCCCGGCCCCATCCGACAAAACCCCTCGATACCAGTTTTCCTCCGGGCCAGTGCGGCCCAATCTGGCCCAGTGGCCCCCAGATCTGGCTTTGCCGCCCCGTTCCCGCGAGGACATCCCGAGCGCTGCCTCCTGGAAGGAGGGCTGGGTGCTGGCAGGCTCGGCGGCCGAGCGGAAGCTAAGCGGCCGAGCGGGCCCCAGGCGGCCGAGCGGGCGCAGAGGGGCACCCGTGGGGGCAGCCGCGCAGGATCTCACGGTCGCCGGGCGGAGATTGGCCCATGCCAAGAAGGACAACGCGACCAACGCGACCAACGCGACCGACGACCCGTCCGGGAACCCCGCGTGGCTCCACCCGGCGGCTCGTCGTCGCCGTCGTCGTCGTCGTCGCCCGCCTCCTTCTCCTTTTCCTTCTCACGTTGCGGATCTCTTTTGGCTCTTAGGGTGACGCACGTGCCCCCCTGGCGCAGAGATCCAGAGTCGATTCCTCTCGCTCTTCCTCCCTCCTCTCTCCTTCGCCCTCGACCCTCCTCTTCATTCCTCTCTCATCTTCACTCTTCCTCCCCCCTCCCCCCTTCCTGACTCTTTAGCTCCATTCTCCCTCGTCCTCACTCCTCCCCCCCTCCACCCATCTCTGTCCTCCCTCTCCTCCCTCATCCCCGCTCCTCCCCATCCCGCGCGCGCAGCTTTTCGGGGGCATGTCGGAATCCTGTTCCCGCGAGACGCAGGGGACGACTGGAGAAGTAG